TTTTTTTTCATTGAAAAATCCCAGTCTTAAAAATACAGTTTTTTTTGCAATTGGGTAAGGGCAATACTAATATGTAAGTATTGGCCATATGCCTAATGTCAAACCTAGACATGCTTTTAACCCATTTCTTGTGCAGATATTCTAATATGGTATATACAATATAATACATAGAGTGTATTTTTTGTTTCTCTTTTTTTATGAATGAGGTGGTCTTCTACAATTAAAAACTATTGATTGTCCTCTAAATGGCATGGAATGCACTGGCAAAATGACATTGCTAGGGATTGGTCATGAATTCTCCAGAATGCTGGGAATGATCTGCAACCTATTTATATATTTGTTCTCTTTAACTGCTCTTAGGCTAGGTTCACATCTGTGCGGGTGGTGCCGCTGCGGACCTGCACAAAAATCCGTGCAGCCGCACCACCCACACAGAAAAATGTGGACCCGCGGGCGGGTGCCATTAGTTCTAATGGCACGCCGCCCGCACTGAAAATCTCAACCGCAATGGGAACCTAGGTTCCCATGTGGGCTGTGGTTTCTAAAGAAGTGCAGGGACTTCTTCCCTGCGTGTCCCAGGACACGGGAGTCCGTTCAAACGAATGGGCTCTCATGCCCGCGCAAAACGTGGCCCGCACGAACGCAAATATGTGAACCAAAAAAACTATTGAAACCCATGGGTAACTTGAAACATATTATACGACCATAAACATTTGATTATAATTAAAGTACATGTAAACCCCATAATTGCATATAACCTTTAAATAAAAATTCCACCTTTAATATCACTTCAACCACTTGACCACTGGAAGGTTTCACTCCTTCATGACCGAGACATTTATTTAGCACTTTACTTTAATTGGTAATTGCATGGTTATGCAACACTGTACCCAAATGGCATTTATATAATTTATTTTACACAAATAGAGCTTTTTTTTGTGGTATTTGATCACGACAGGATTTTTTATCTTTTAATAGTTAAAAAAAAAGAATGAACATCTTGAAAAAAAACAATATTTTTTACTTTCTGAAAGAAAGCACCCGAAAGAAGCTGTCAACATACAGGAACGTGATTGTGCTTGTACGAGCCACCCGCCCTATCAGGCCCCATGCTCATTGGGTGTTTAGCCCCAGTGCATGAGGCTCCAGCATTTCGCTGCAGGCAGAGGGCACAGGTATCCCGTCCTCTCTATGGGAATCTGACAGCTGCTGTGGCTGGGTGCACCTACCACCTGGTGCACCTACCTGTATGAATGCGTCCAGGGTTGAATGCTCAAAACCCAAACTTCTTACGTTCCCAGCATTTGTCCCTGGGCACATACTGCCCTCAACATCTTCTTTACAATGAGGTGCACCGTCCCGCCTCGTCCAGCCAAAGCTCTCTCTCTAGAGTTTGATAGGACTCCCGGAAAAGGAGCTGGATGGGACACCTGTGCCCTTCAACCACAGCTAAATGCTGGAGCCCCATGCACCGGGGCTAGATGCCCAATGGAAATCTCCCAATGTGGACACCTGTTCCAATAACAGTTGTCTAAGAGGGATCATTAACTCTTCCTTTTTTTTTTTTACGATTTAGGCTACTCATACTCATACATGGAAAGATTTCCCAAGCTGAACAAAAGAAATCTAATAGATTCTCCCAACTCCACTAAACATCCTAAATAAAGGAATCTTCCCTGACGAATATTGTATTCAGCATCCAGCAGGAATGCTTAGACAGTGACTACATCTGATTGGATATAGGTATACGGATGTGTAATGTGATTTGTTTCCCCTTTTAGGCCCATTGGCCGTTGTATGCCAAGCGGCGGTGGACTGCCAATGTGGGACTGATATATACAGTGTGGACACGGTTATGGTCCTTTTTGGATGCTTATACAACCGAATTATCGCAATTAGGGGCCATTGCCTTGACCGGTAGGTTTTTCTTCTTTGGAAAAGGAATATGATTTGAGATGTTTTGGTATTTATAATAATGTGGTGATTATATATCCCATTGCTTGTAGGTCTATGTACCTTCCTTTTTCATTCTTGGCCTTCAGGTGTTTTCCACCAAGTAGAAGCCCCTGTGTTTTTCCTGGGACTGCAAGTGATGCGGTTATCCTCTAGTTTTTTGGTGTAAGAATGTAAGAATACACGCATATCTACTATACTATAGGGTAAAATACGACCTAGGAAGTTAGTTTCTGTATGTTAACATTACTAAGTAGATAGTGATATCCTTAGCCTGTACATATATTTCTATCTAGGCCCTTATTGGCTTTCCAACTTTTGCCATTTATATTGGGAACCAAGTTTCTTGGGGTTCCCTGGGTTTCCGGCCTGCTGCGGTCTTTGCACCCCCATATCTGACCCCTGGAGTGTTTTCCTCCCACCTTGGATTCAGAGGAGGCTTTCCTCTGTGCGATTGAAGATTGAAGGGCACACTGCTGTCTGGTGCATAATGGTCTATTTTGGAAGTGCTAAACTCTTTAACAATTTTACAATGCTTAATTGCGTTTGCTGTTCATGATTTTCTGTTTGTCTAAGTATATGTATCTCTTTTAGATATATAATTAGCCCCTGAGGAAGCGACTGTTATCAAGAAACATGTCAGGCATTCTCTTCGGTCTTTGAATGTTCCTTGCCCCCACACAGGATTACTTTGGTGGTAACTTCTATGCTGTATCACTGGTTGTCATCCTTTTGAATATATGGTGGGCTTTGGGACATTCATTGCAGGTACACTGTACAACAAAATTTTATCCAAAATTGTCTGTATGTGATGTTAAATAAAGGAACACTGATCTTACTTTTCTGCATATGTATTCTCTGTGCCTATAAAGTCCATTTATACAATCTCTTTTTTTTATAAATAGTACATACCAAGACGTAGCACTGTTGTATCTATTGGGTGTGACCTATATCACCCAAGGGTTACCCCATATCCTTTTCATCATTATTTGGATGCAGTCACTATTTTGCCAACAATTTTTCACCCAGCTCCTTTCACAAAACTGATTGAAAAATCCATTTTTTTGGAGCTGAGTGGAGCCAACAGGGCCACCCACAGCTTGAATTTCAGACGATTCAACAAGAATTGGCTGAAATTTGAGCAGTGTTGCCAGCTTTACTCTTCCTTCCTATAGTGTGTACAGGATTGAAAGTAAAGGGAAATTTCAGATGGCATTAGAAGCATTTTAACTGTCCTATGATGAACCAACCAATGCCCAAACCTCAGTCCAATTCAAAATCGTGACAAGACTTGAGGATTACTGTTCACCAACAATCTCCATCCAACCTGACAACGATGGGGTCATTTTTGCCAAGAAGAATGGGTAGAAAATTATATTCTCCAGGTTTTCAAGTCTGGTAAAGACTTACAAATGTAATTGCAGCCAACGGTAGTTTCACTAAGTACCAATTATGGGAGGGGTTGGGCGTATATTTAAAAATACATATTCAAGGAAACCACCCATTGTCTGCTTATTCGTCTTACAATAACAACCATATTTTAAACCTTCAGAGAGTCAATTTTAATTTCAGGTTGTAACAAAATAGGGAAAAACTCTGGAGGCTTATCAATAAATAGCATACACTACATTCTAAGTATAAATGGATGTTAATGAAGCCACAAATGTCAGATGAACCACAAATAAAATGTTCTGAATTGTGCATACACATGATGGTAATGCTTTCTTCATACACCTACTAAGCCTATAAATGCAATACAGTATATATGGTATGTCTAAAACACTGCTTTAACTGTTTCAACAATTGCGTCCATCTGCCTAATGACTTTGCAGCAATGTCACACTGGGGACACACTGACAATTCCATACACCAAGCATCCCATCATGTGTTACATGTGGCCAGTGACATAACATCATATGATCAGAGCTGTGCATCTTTGCTGAGTCGTAGTTTCTTCTGTTAAAAAAAGGAAAAGCCCATTGTACGTTGGGTAACAGGACCTGATATACGGGCTCTCCTCTACCAACCTCTTCTCTGTACAAGTTCTATAGGTTGTTAGTTTTACATTATTTCAAGGCATGTTATGAATTCAGTTTCATCTATATTAGGATTTGCCCCCTTCCACACGAGGTGGACTCTGTTATGCTCAGCAGGGGATCTTAAGAATATAAGAATATTATATAAATAGTGCCGTGCAGTAATATAGGCATCCAAAATTGTGCCACACTTACAATGACAATATGTAAAAAAAAAATAAAATAAAATAAATATATATTATATATATATTCACTATATTGCCAAAAGTATTGGTCGGCCTGCCTTTACATGCACATGAACTTTAATGGCATCCCAGTCTTAGTCCGTAGGGTTCAATATTGAGTTGGCCCCGCCCTTTGCAGCTATAACAGCTTCAACTCTTCTGGGAAGGCCATCCACAAGGTTTAGGAGGGTGTCTATGGGAAGGTTTGACCATTCTTCCAGAAGTGCATTTGTGAGGTCAGGCACTGTTCGATGAGAAGGCCTGGCTCACAGTCTCCACTCTAATTCATCCCAAAGGTGTTCCATTGGGTTGAGGTCAGGACTCTGTGCAGGCCAGTCAAGTTCTTCCACCCCAAACTCACCCATGTCTTTATGGACCTTGCTTTGTGCACTGGTGTGCAGTCATGTTGGCACAGGAAGGGGCCATCCCCAAACTCTTCCCACAAAGTTGGGAGCATGAAACTGTCCAAAATGCCTTGGTATGCTGACACCTTAAGATTTCCCTTCACTGGAACTAGGGGGCCAAGCCCAACCCCTGAAAAACAACCCTACACCATAATCCCCCCCGCCACCAAACTTTACACTTGGCACAATGCAGTCAGGCAAGTACCGTTCTCCTGGCAACTGCCAAACCCAGACATATCCATCAGATTGTCAGAGAAGCTTGATTTGTCACTCTAGAGAGCATGTCTCCACTGCTCTAGAGTCCAGTGGTGGCATGCTTTACACCTCTGCATCCGACGATTTGCATTGCACTTGGTGATGTAAGGCTTGGATGCAGCTGCTCGGCCATGGAAACCCATTCCATGAAGCTCTGTTGTTGTGCTGATCTGAAGGCCACACCAAGTTTGGAGGTCTTTAGCTATTGACTCCGCAGACAGTTGGCAACTTACTTCAGTACTTCAGCACGCGCTGATCCCACTCTGGCATTTTACGTGGCCTACCACTTGGTGGCTGAGTTGCTTTTGTTCCCAGTTTCTTCCACTTTGTTATAATACCACTAACAGTTGACCGTGGAATATTTAGTAGCCAGGAAATGTCACGGATGGACTTATTACACAGGTGACAACCTATCACGGTACCATGCTTGAATTCACTGAGCTCCTGAGAGCGACCCATTCTTTAACAAATGTTTGTAGAAGCAGTCTGCATGCCTAGGGGCTTGATTTTACACATCTGTGGCCATGGAGGCAATTGGAAAACTTGAATCCAATGATTTGGAGGTCTGGTCCAATACTTTTGGCAATAAAGTATATATGTATATATATATATATATATATATATATATATACAGCTCATATCATTTCTCTTTGTGGGTTGGACTAGCAGGGACGACTCAGAGTGCATGTGCAAGTAATCACTCAAAAATAACAAATTGGCACTTGAACTAATATAGACAATCTTTCGAAATAACTTCCGAACATACGAATTGATTCAGGACAACGAATATACCAAATGAATCCGAATATACATAATTAATCTGAATATTATTATTATTATTATTATTATACAGGATTTATATAGCCCCAACAGTTTGCTCAGCGCTTTACAATATAAAGGGAGACAATACAGCAACAATACAGTTCAATATAAGAGGGATAGGAGGGCCCTGCTCCCTGGAGCTTACAATCTAGGAGAATATACGAAATGGATCTAAAATAAAAAATGAATACGAATATATGAAACAAATTCTGAAAACGAATTATTCTAACATAACGAATATGACAAAAAAAAAATGATTTACTTAAGAGAAGGCATTAGTACACCCCCCTACACAAGACACTAAACAGTTAAAAACATTTTACAATTCTTACCATTTAGAGAAAATGATAATCTCCTCTGCCAAGGAGGAGGTGTAACAGCATTGATTACATCATATTCTCTCTTCTCTCTCTGCAGTAAAAGGTAACTACGGTTCCCATCAACCACAGGGAATTGTAGTGAATGTGGGCGGGTAGATTAGGCCTATACATGGTGAATGTGTCTGAGAGGCTGAGAGTCTTCGTCCGCTGCAACTGCAAGTGGCGCTGAATTACATCACTGCTTCCTGGAGAAAGAACTACAGAAGGGATGTGCCAAGACCAGTGGCTGGGGGAATAAGAAGCATAGCAGCCACTGGTCTTACAAATAGGAAACCAAAAAGAATTAACAGTTTGATTTGAAAATAAATAGGTTATTTCAGAGCATCTACTGAGTGAACCAGAAGATGGATGGCATATTCAGTGAAGGTAGGAAAGCAGCAACAAGGACATGTAAAGAAATTTTTGCCCAGGGTTCTGCTTTAACAAATGAATCTGAAGCAAAACAAATTTTTTTCGGTATGCACATCTCTACTGTCCACACTTTTAATCCCAAGGAACCAATACAATTCAAGCAGCACACCGATGACGTCAACTCCTCTTAAACCCTTTATTCAGCCGCAGACAGCATACGGAATACCCATGCCATGTTTCACCCGGAATGGGCTTAGTCGCAAGGATAGCTATTGGTGTGTGGCTTGAGTTGCATTAATCCACTCTACTGCTAATACATATAAAATTAAAATACATGTCTACTTAATGGACTACAATGGTGCCCAAACCCATGTGCACACACCCCATCAAGAAGACCATTCATGGTCAGATCAGACCAACTTAAGAATCACTTGCAACGTGAGTGTAGAGATTCTCTTGAAGTGGAACTTCAACCAAAAGGGGAAGTTCCACTTGTTTGCATCCTCCCCAGGGGCAGACTGACCATTTGGAAACTTGGGCACTGTCCGAGGGCCTGGGGTCAGTAGGGGGCCCCATGAGATGCCCCTGGTACCTTTTTCATAGGCTTTTTTGAGTTTGGGCAAGGACACAGGGGCCCCATGATCCCATATTGCCCCGGGGCTCCATGAGTTGTCAGTCCGACCCTGATCCTCCCCTTCTCCACTGCCACATTTGGCACTTCCGGTCAGATTGACGCGGTAACGTTCGGCCGATCCTCCTTCCCATCGCAGCCTTCTGAGACACATCACAGGTCCCACAAGACTGTCCATTCACAAAGCACAGTGTGACTCGTGCATGCGCAGTAGGAAGCAGCCTGTGAAGCTAGAAGTTAGATTTTTGTTTGAAAATTTGTAGAAAAAACATTCATGAGAACCGTCTTTCTTGCCAACATTGGGTCAACTAATTTAGTCTAAAGCCCTTAGAATTCCATCCAGACCTGCTAGTTGAATGGAATCCCAGGCGCGTTAAACAGGTTTTGTTACAATATGTACAATTTTTACCTAAACAAAAACCACATTCACAGTTCGAAAGAATCCTGCATTTGAATTTTCTCATCACTACACACAAAAGCAAACATCAGATGACCCCTCTAACCAAAAAATATGAACTCTACTGGGGTATGGCCAGCTTTAGTTAATAACAAGTCTGGAAAAAGCGCAATGCAATAAGCAGGTCTACTCTTTCCTAAAGATCTTGAAGATCATCGGCATGAAGCTCAATGCCTGCGTGAAAAGCTTCAGATGGAAACTCTCTGCTGGGCTTCGTGTTACACAAACTTAGGTATGGCGAGTTTTAGGTTAACACTATAGAAGAGCAGAGCCATTAGAAAATATATTAACTAAAGTGTAGAAGTTTATGAAAATATCAGGTTTAGTGTCTGTGATTAAGACACAAAGACACATCTTGGGCTTAGCAAGACATGGATGAGTCAGTCTCTCGCCTGCAGAGGCGGACTTGTAACACAGCTTCTGTATAGAGACACAATCTACACCTCCCCGCACGCCCAGCCCCCTCTCAGCCTACTTATCCCATCCCCTGTGTCTAGTCATTCTCTGACCATTGTCTAATAAACTGCACACGGAGACTTCTGGGGGGGTGGGGGGTGAGTCCCTATAGGAGCTACTAGAATGCATCTGTAAAGACCAGCACAGTAGCCGTCTCTAGCAACAATGTTGTATATACTATATACAGTATATATATATATATATATATATATATATATATATATAATACATTTTTAAACACTGTCTCCGGATATATAAAATTAGACTTGAGTACTACTTGTGTGTATGTATATATATATATATATATATTATATATATATATATATATATATATATATATGTACACAGTATCTCCCAGAAGTGAGTACATCCCTCACATTTTTGTAAATATTTTATTCTATCTTTTCATGTGACAACACTGAAGAAATGACACTTTGCTACAATGTGACGTAGTGAGTGTACAGCTTGTATAACATGTAAATTTGCTGTCCCCTCAAAATAACTCAACACACAGCCATTAATGTCTAAACCGCTGGCAACAAAAGTGAGCCCACCCCTAAGTGCCAATGTCCAAATTGGACCCAATTAGCCATTTTCTCTCACCGGTGTCATGTGACTCGTTAATGTTACAAGGTCTCAGGTGTGAATGGGGAGCAGATGTGTAAATTTGGTGTTATCGCTCTCACTGTCTCATACTGGTCACTGGAAGTTCAACATGGCACCTCATGGCAAAGAGCTCTCTGAAGATCTGAAAAAAAAGAATTGTTGCTCTACATAAAGATGGCCTAGGCCAGTGGTGGGCAACCTTTATTTTCAACTGAGCCAAATCTCGCCAAAACCACGATTGAAATTTATTTTGAGAGCCACATTTTTAAAACTGAAAATACATCCCCCATATAGTAATTCATCCCCCATATAGTAATTCATCCCCCATATAGTAATTCATACCCCCCCATATAGTAATTCATCCCCCATATAGTAATTCATCCCCCATAGTAATTCATCCCCAGTAATTCATCCCCCATAGTAATTCATCCCCCATATAGTAATTCATCCCCCATAGTAATTAATCCCCCCATATAGTAATTCATCCCCCATAGTAATTCATCCCCCATAGTAATTCATCCCCCATATAGTAATTCATCCCCCATAGTAATTCATCCCCCCTATAGTAATTCATCCCCCATAGTAATTCATAATTTCCCCCCTATAGTAATTCATTCCCCATATTGTGTCAATTCACTTACCTTTGCTCCGCACGTTCCTCTCGCCGTGTTCCTGCGCCGTTCCGGTCTTCAGGGCGGACTGTGAGAGGAGAGGAGTTTGTCACGCTGCCCCGCCTACATCCTGACAGCCAATGTTTGCCACGCTCCGCAGGTCGGATTAAAAGGTCCGCCGGGCCGTAGTTTGCCCATTGCTGGGCTAGCTGCAGAGTCCTGACTTTTGGGGCGGCCGCCGAGAGGAGGGAGGGGAGCGGGTGCCTGGCACACAGAAGAGCCGTATTAAAGTGTGCAAAGAGCCGCATGTGGCTCGCGAGCCGCGGCTTGCCGACCATTGGCCTAGGCTATAATAAGACTGCCAAGACCCTGAAACTGAGCTGAAGCATGCTGGCCAAGACCATACAGAGGTTTAACAGGACAGGTTCCACTCAGAACAAACCTCGTCATGGTCGACAAAAGAAGTTGAGTGCACGTGCTCAGCGTCATATCCAGAAGTTGTCTTTGGGAAATAGACGTATGAGTGCTGCCAGCTTTGCTGCAGAGGTTGAAGGGGTGGGGGGTCAGCCTGTCAGTGCTCAGACCATACGCCGCACACTTCATCAAATTGGTCTGCATGGCTGTCGTCCCAGAAGGAAGCCTCTTCTAAAGATGATGCACAAGAAAGCCTGAAGTTTGCTGTAGACAAGCAGACTAAGGACATGGATTACTGGAACCATGTCCTGTGGTCTGATGACACCAAGATAAATGGATTTGGTTCAGATGGTGTCAAGTGTGTGTGGTGGCAACCAGGTGAGGAGTACAAAGACAAGTGTGTCTTACCTACAGTCAAGCATGGTGGTGGGAGTGTCATGGTCTGGGGCTGCAAGAGTGTTGCCTACACTGGGGAGCTACAGTTCATTGAGGGAACCATGAATACCAACATGTACTGTGACATACTGAAGCAGAGAATGATCTCCTCCCATCGGAGACTGGGCCGCAGGGCAGTATTTCAACATGATAAAGACCCCAACAGGGGCAGACTGACAACTCATGGGGCCCCTGGGCAATAGGGAATGATGGGGCCCCTGTGTCCTTGCCCAAACTCAAAAAAGCCTATGAAAAAGGTACCAGGGGCATCTCAAGGGGCCCCCTACTGACCCCGGGCCCCCGGGCGGTGCCCGAGTTTCCAAATGGTC